GCTTTATGGACATCTGTCTTCTGCTGATGGCATGAGACCTGTGGATTAGGAGCTTTTGGACGACTTACCTACCATTGACCCAAGCAATGTGGGGAAAGTTGATTCCACTGCCCTCTTGTTCATGGTCCTTAGAGCCCTTTGCAGCAGTTGAGAGGAAAGGCAGGATTGCTCAATGGCTAGCATTGCCACTTTTGTGGGTGGAGTTTCTTCAGTGTCCACCAGTCTTCTTGGAGGAAATGGGTGGTGCCAGCAGCTGGCCTGTCTCTTTGTTATAAAAGCTTTTTAATGAAACATTTTAAATGTCATATTCTCTATATCTCTGAGCATTTTGAGGGCTATCTGACTGTATATAAAATTTGTCTTTAGTGACTTGCCTTAAGCATATAGGTGGCTAGATAAGGCTTTATCCCTATAATTAATTATTCTGTCTGGAAAACTGGGTCCAGGCTGAGAGGCTGTGGAGAGATGTTTTACTCAAAGCCCTCCAGCCTGACTGTAACTGGTTTTAACTTAGTAGTTTAGACTTGTACCTGTAAAGGACAGAGAGGTAGAGAAAAACTCCCTTTGATAATAGAAGCGTAACCTTTATAAACAGCTTACAGGAAGGACTGGGTGGCATAAATATTTTGTTAATTTGAAATAGACCTTTATAACCTTAAATGCTTACCATCATTTAAAGACATGTAACAATTTAGAAATATTTGAGACTTAGTACAGTTGAATTTAAGTTGTGTAGAGTTAGCTTACATTTACATATATAGTTAAATTTAAATCACATGTACAGATATATCAAACAAGACTGGGTAAAAATAAGAAAAATCAGAGTGTGAAGCCATGTGCAACAGAGTCGTGAAAAAAAGAAATTAGAGATAAAGAATAAAAGGCAAAAAGTAAATGAATTACAGATTTTGTTGGTGGCAGAAGCTGGCTAGACTGTCCCTCTGCCTAGGCAGCTGGTGTAGCAGAAGGAAGAACCACATGGGGTGAGGCTAGGCCACATGGTCAAGATGGCGACTGTTATAAATACATTCCCAACCGCTGGCAGAAGTCATAAAGTTTTGAGATATAATTTTGTTGGCTTTTTCTCTCCATGAGTGAGGCAGAAGGATTTGTGAAACTAACAGGACACTGTAACGAGTAAGGTTTTTCCTCCCGCCGCTACTGGTCTTGTTCTGCCGCCACGCCAGCCCCAATTAATACACAGAGACTCTGTATTTGATATAATGTTGTTGGCCAGGTACTAGTTTCTTATAGGCTAGCTCTGTCTTAAGTATTAACCCATTTCTTTTAAATATAAGTACTTTCACGTGCTCTAATCTTACCGGGGAATGGGACAGGTGTCTCGTCTCCCCAGTCTCTCCATCTTGACTCCTCCTTACTACTTTCTCTTTTCTCCTTGTCTCCTAGTCCCTCCTATCTTCCTTTCCTATTGGCCAACAGTGCTTTATTCATTAACCAGTATGAGAAACATATATACAAAATGACATATCCTATCAGGACACCGGAGTCCAAGGGGTACAACATCCAAAAAGACCACCGTAGGTCTGAGAAATGAATGTACCAGTCTGAGGACAGTGCTAGGGTATAAAACCCTAGAGACCCCCTCATGCCAGTTCTCAAGATGACATGGCTGTTCTTCAGCTCAGTGGTGATGGCAGCCTCACTCTGAGAGTCTTCCTTCTGCTGCCAGTCATTAACAGTGCCCAAAGTCCTACTAGTTGAGTGTTTTGATGTTGATGAAGGACACTTCCCCATTGGCTTCAGCCATGATCCCATCATGTTCACAGTGGTAAATAATGCCAATGTCATCTTCAAGTTTTCACCTGCGGTAACGGTGAACAACAGAGGCAATCTCATTCTTATCCATGTCACCCTCCACAAATGGGTTTGGGTTGGAGAAATTGTATCTTTCTCAGTCACTGATGGGAGAAGTTATGGTTGATGTAAGTGGCCTCCATGGCCAGGCTGAGGGATGAGTTGAGGGAACTGCATTCATCTTGAGCAGACTCATTGGCTATCTCACTCACAGTCAGGAGGTAGATGTCAGAGTTGTCCCTCTTGTCAAAGAAGAGTTTAGATCCGATTCTCTGCACGACAATAAAAGTTAAATTTTAATTTGATTTAAAATATTATTGTATTGCCAGGTTTCAGTGGCGCATGCCTTTAATCCCAGCACTCGGGAGGCAGGGGCAGGCAGATCTCTGTGAGTCTGAGGCCAGTCTGGTCTACAGTAGTCCCAGGACAGGCTCTAAAGCAATACAGAGAAACCCTGTCTCAAAAAACCAAAAAATAAATAAATATTATTGTATCCATCACAATACACATTAAGTAGCATCTTGTATTGGGTTTAATTTCTCTAATCTCTAATGGTGTTGAGATTTTTTTCCCCATTAGTTTGTTATTTATATGTCTTCTTTGGGAAAAAAAATGTATTTTTTATTGCTATTGTTTAGTTGAAAAATTCTTTAGATTCTAGATTCTAAGACCTTAACCAATCAATGATTTTAAAAATTTCTTCCCTTCTGTAAGCTGTCATTTTATTTTGTTTGTTAAGCTTTTTTTATGGTACATAAAATATTTATTTTTATAAAGTTCAACTTCTTGTTTTGCTGTGTTTTTGTTTTTGAGACATAGTTTCTCTGTGTAGCCTTGGCTCTTTCTGTAGACAAAGTTGGCCTTGAACTCACAGAGCTCTGCCTGCCTTTGCCTCCTGAGTGCTGGGATTAAAGCTCTACACCACCATACCCAGGGTTAAAGGTCAATTTATTAATCTTTCTTTAGCTTCATTTTTCTAAATTTTTAAAATTTAATTTAAGTTCTCTCCTTCTGCCAGGTAGGTTCTAGGGATTGAACTCAGGTCCTTAGGCTTAGCAGCAGGTGGTTTTAATGCTGTATTAAAAAAACTCTTTGTTTCAAAAAATTCATTTATTTCATAAATACTTATGAATATGATTTGTCTTAAAAGTTTTATAGATCTACTTCTTAATTCCAGGTCTTTATACCATTTTGAGTGAACTTTTATATATGATATAAATGAGGGTCCAGTCGTGTGTGTGTGTGTGTGTGTGTGTCTAAAAACCATTTGTTAAAAAGTCTATTACTTCCCCATAAATGTTCTTCTCATCTCTGCCAAGACTCAGTTGAACACACACACACAGGGGTTTATTTCTGGACTATTACATTATTTTGTTTATCTACAGTTTGTCCTCAGGCCAGCACTGTGCCACGTTGATTCCCCCGTGTTATGATCAGTTTTGAAACAGTGAAATGCAAATATTCCTCCCTTTGTCTTTTGTCAGGATTGCTTGGGCTTTTCCCTGGAAATCTGGTATGGACTTTGGAATTAGCTTGGCGATTTCTATAAAGGAATTGGCCAGCACAAGAGTATCATTTCCTGCTTCTGTAATCATGGAGGAAAACATTATACTCTCAGAGAGCTGTTCTCTTGCAATGAGACATGCTCAATAGAAAATGCTAATATCTTACTCTATGTAATCGAACCTTGAGAACAATTCACACCAGAGTCCAAAATAAATAGGACCTTGTTGTGTGTGTGTGTTCCGAGGGGGGAAATTGGGTATGTGCATTTTCTTCCTTTATGCTTGTATAACTTGAAGATAACAAAATGAATTCATATTTGTTTCTCTTCATCATAATTTCTCTGGGACTTAGAAAGGCAATCAGGTAATTTAGACACAGAGAAGATAAAAAGTGACTTGTTCAAAGAGACAAAGTAGAAAGTAAAGCCACTAATTGTCTTGGTTTCCCTGCTTGGAAAACTGTTAGTGCTGGAACTGTGGATGTCTTAAGGGAACTGGACTAAGCTGGTCACTGTACTAAGTAACAGAGGCAGGACAAGTATAACATCACTTTTCCTACTAAGGTTCACCAATCAGGCTTTTCCTTTAGAAAATTCTGCTTAAACTGGGTGTTGGTGGCACAAGCCTTTAATCCCAGCACTTGGGAGGCAGAGGCAGGCAGATCTTTGTGAGTTTGAGGTCAGCCTGGTTAACACAGCTAGTTCTAGGACAGCCAAGACAGCCAAGGCTATACAGAGAAACCCTGTCTCAAAAAACCAAAAAGGGGGGAGAAAGAAAGAAAATTTAAAAATTCTGCTTAAATCCCTTTCTTTGTACATCTTTACTTTCAAAATGATGTGCCTATGTGTATCTGAGATGTGTGCATATATGCATATGCATAGATGCATGTGCATGTTTGCATGTCTGTGACTGTACATGTGTGCAGAAGTCAGAAGACAACTTTGGGTATAGGTATTTGCCTTCTCTGTTGTTGGAAAAGTCTCTTGTTTACTGCTGCTCATGCAAAGCTATCTGGCCTGGAAACTCTGGGAATTCTCCTGCCTGTCTCCTGCTCCAGTGTAGGTACAAGGAGAATACAGACATGTATCACTGCTCCTGGGGATTCTCCTGCCTGTCTCCCATCCTAGTGTAGGTATATGGGGAATATAGACAAGTACTACTGCTCCTGGAGATTCTCCTACCTGTCTCCCATCTTCCTGCAGGCACATCTGGATTACAGATGTGCACCACTGCTTTCGGCTTTGTGTGTGTTCTGGGTGTTAGCATCTTTGTGTAGCATCTTTGCTCACTGAGCATCTCCCCCAACCCCTCGGTCATCTTTCCTTGAGTACTTCCTTGTTAGATACCAGCTGTCCAAATCCCTTAGCAATCCTTTGTCTTTGGTGGTGTAGCCACAGGCAGGTTCTACGTTTTCTCCTTTCCCTGGGTTCTAATGGTTGCTTGTGTTCATCTTTCCTCTCCTGCAGACTCAGAGGTCACCAAGGTGTGAACTTTCCAATGAGCACTGTTTCCTGACTGGAGAAAGTAGGTGAGCATTCCAAACATTTTCAGGGTTGGGAAAATTTCCTAAGATCCCATTTAATAGAATTTAGATATTAAAGATAAACAAGAACCACTTAGTGCCAAGAACACAAGATATATTTATTACATGTGTGTGGATTGTAACAAGCAAAATGAGGTTTAGTACACATCCATGACCCGTCTCAGAGAGCCGACCTTGGCATCCATAGCTCCCCAGTCATGGTAGCGCCTGTAGTCTCCAGGCCTGAGCAGGTACTGCCGGCCTCGATAGTTGGGCATCTCATAGAGAACCCAGCATCCCTCTAACACGTGCATAGAGTAGATCTCATTGAGGCGGAAGCGATCATGGATGCAGGAGCAGTCTTCTGTAAGCTCAGACACAAGGCCCCGGTAATCATCTCTCTCATACAGCCTTATCCTGTGAGAGCTGGTCTGTTGTGATGACAGACAAATGAGGAATAGCAATGATTTATATGCTTACTATTGCAGCCTGTTTGCACCTTCACAAAACACGGGTTTTGGGCGAAGCTGTCAAGTATGTCTCCCCTAATCCTACTCCTTGTGCTGCTGTTCTAGCAGATTAGGAAATGCACTAACATAAAGCTGACCTGACCAGTGAACTGGAGCCCATGTGGAGGGAATGAACACCAAAGGGCAGAGTGAAAGCATTTACTGCCCATGGAACCAGATTCTACCAAGCTCACTTTGAAGCCACCATTTCTACACATTGATGTGCAATGATTCCGATTTGCTTTGAGTCTGCATACCTGTCTTTTTCTTTTCTTTCTTTGGGATAAAAACCACAGGGAATATGGACTGTATCTCATGAAATCCTAATTACCTGTCTCATAAGAAACTAGTCATTAATGACTCCTGAAGAACAAAGCCACACAAGTTGAGACCCACTGTTCTAGGTGAGTGTGAGTGAGTATAGTAAGAAAAAAAAATCCCACCAATACAGTCAGAATACACTGGAACTAACCAAATTTAATTAACTGAGTTCCCAATGTATATTTTAAAATTGACAAATAGTATGTGAGTATTTATTAGGCATAGCATCGTATATGAAAGTAAGCACCATGGTTAAATCTACCTAATTAATATGTATTTATCCCCACAATTATCATTTTTGTGGTGAGAACACATAGAATCTATTCTTTCAGCATTTTATTGTATGTTTAAGATGCATTGTTTTTTATTTTATGTGTGTGGTGAGTGTTTGCTTATGTGGCTATAAGTATACTACATGAGTTGTGCTTGGTGCTTACAGAGACCAAAAGAGGGCATGGGATTCCCTGGAACTGCAATTACAGACAGTTGTGAGCCACTTGTGGGTGCTGGGGATTGAACCCAGGCCCTCTAGAAGGGTAGCCAGTGCTCTTAACTACTGAGCCATCTTTCCAGCCTCATCTTAGCATTTTTAAATGACTCTAATACATATCATGAACTGTTATCAATGTGCTATATACGAACAAATCTCTAGAACATAGTTTTCTCTATCTGTAATTTTTTGATTTCTGATCATCACTACAAAACCTCTGGTCCCTTGCTCTACTACTCTAGCATCTAGTTGGCACTGTTCTGTTTTCTATTAAGGACAGAACTACTGCTCAGGACAGAACTCAGGGCTGCAAGCTTGCTAGGCAAGTACATTACCACAGAGCTCAATCTCCAACCCAGATCTCTCCCTTCTAGAACAGATGGCCTTTGTCAGTACATGCCTGGCTTATCTCTGCTAGCACAGTGCTCACTAGGTTCATCCATGTCATTACAAATGGCAGGATTTCCTTCTTTTATGGCTGAAGGGTATGTGATTATTGAGTCAGTTTAAATTTAAAGGTCACGCTGTGTTTTTGTTTTTAATGTCGTAAACATTGATGTCCTTAAGTAAGAGATAATACATTGCTGTTAATGTATGTATGTATGTAGTATGTATGCATGCATGCATGTATGCATTCCTTCTATTTAGGTTTGAGAGTCAGGCCTTAATATACTTAGTGTGAGCACTTGTTGAGCATTCCAATCCTTGCTGAGAACATTAGAACACGTGGAAATAAACTGACAGACAGGAATACCTGATATTCCCACATCAGCCAGGCTGAAGCAATACTCACATAAGGAATGGAGCGGCAGGAGCGGATGGAATCGCTGAAGCCCATCCACTGCTGGTAGTCAGGGTAGTCCCCACGCCTCAGGAAGTACTGGTAGCCCTGGTAGTTGGGGCGCTCATAGAGCATCCAGCAGCCACTGTCCACTCTGATGGAGTTGCAGCGGCTGAAGTAGGTCTGCAGGTTGGGGCAGTCGGTGCTGCACTCATAGCAGCGGCCCTGGAAGCTGCGGTCCTCGTAGAAGGTGATCTGTAAAGGAAGGGCGGATGAACATGGTCATCTGGAAGGCACATCACGGACAGAGAGGACGCACTCCGCAAACCTGGGAGGCCCTCTCTTGGCTCACCTTTCCCATCGTTGTTGACAGCAGATGGTCAGTGTTGAGTGTGATCAGGACAGGAGTGGCAGCTGACATATATATAGCAGGATGGCTGCTGTGTTGGCAAGAACAGCACAAAGGGGACCTGGGGGGTAATGCGTAAAGGGATTTCTGTGTTCTCTTGCTTTTTCATTTGGGATCATGGGGTAGGGGGCTCTCATTCTCTCTGGCATTTTCGAGTTGTCCTCACTAACTCCAGTGAAAGGAATTAAAGTCAGCAGAGCCATTATGATCTTGGAGACAAAGGGCGTGCTTCTCGTCCTATGCAACTCCCTAGAAATGCATTACGTACCCAGCATTTTGCAATGTTTGCCTATAGAAAGTGCTGAGATGGAGGTCAGTGCTTCCATGTGTGGGAAGCTCATGAGGATCATATGAGTTCCGGAAGCACTCTGAGGCACCAAGAGGCAGCAGAAAAACAAACAAAAATCCTCGAATTGAAAAAGTTTCATGTCTTTATCTGTATGATACAGATTCAATTGTTTTTAAATTTACATACGCTTAGGATAAAAAGGTTAGAACTGTGCAGAGACTAATATGTCAACCATGGCCATCAAGGAATGGTAAACATATATAAGCCCTCATATTATTTCTTCCTTTTGAATTTAAAATTTCTCTAATTTTCTACTCTAAATATATATAGCAAATTCAGTGCATGAGAGTAGTAAAGTCAATTTTTAAATGTGTGATTTTTTGAGTTAATGGTTAAAAGCTATGTATGTATGTATGTATGAGATTAAACACTTCTCGGTCTAAAATTAATAGCTCTTCCAAGAATCTGAGGCACTCTAATCAGGAAAAGACATAGGACATTTCCATTCTTCCTGCCATCACCCTTTTTTTCAGGGTTACTACTTTTTGTTCTTAAAACCAGTGCTATGGTTTGTCTAGTTTTCCAGCACCAAAGTTTTAGTTTCCCCGAGCCAAGATAAATGCCATCAGAACTTTCTTCTTTGCTGCCAGCTGACTTAGAGTGCTTCTCAATTGCAGGGATAGGGGGTGGTCAAACCTTGGATTAGCTTCTGTTATCCCATCCCATTCATATGTAGGAAGTGAAGTCAAACATCATTTTGCTCAGGGTCCATGAGTGGACTCTAAAAAGACACTCAACTAGAGTTAGCAATGCAGGCACAAAATCCGCACGAAAATCCTCAGCCCTCACTCACATGATGTATATGGCTGACAAAAGCATAGACGTCAAGAAGTGTCTTCTCACAGCCAGCGAGGCTATACAGAAACAAACTGGGCAAAGTCCCCAGCAGCTGCAGCCTTGGCAAGGATCACAGGCCACTGATGTCCTCCCCTGCGTCCATCCTGAATTCCAAGCATCCTGGTAAGCCTCAAGTACAACTGTGATCAAGCAGCATGTGGAAACGCCCGCACTGACCTCCCCAACCACAATAGGAGTACACCACTATTTTCAGAAGTGGTCAACAAACTCACCTGACTTTGCATGTGGCCCTAAGATGGCATGTGGTCCTTAAGAAAGGAGAGGTATAATATACTGGCATTCCTCTGATGTTGTAACTGCAAACTGGTTAGCCATGTGCCTTGTTGCCATTTTGGAAAGGTCCCAAATGAGCAGCACAGCTTTCTCTAATGGTCATTGTGTTTTACCCAGAGACAGCCAGCATCTATTTCTCTTTTCAGACTTTATTGAAATGGAATGAGTTTACATTTTCTCTATTTGAAAGTATGCTAATGAGAAGTCAGTTTTATTTGGGGTTGAAACCTTGGGAAACCACCTCCTTCTCCATGACCCTATGCAATATTCAATGCTACACATTTGCTAAAATGTGTGTCGAAACCAGAGTGTCTCACCCTGTCCAGAAACAGTGAATCCCTTCCAAATGCTCTAGCCGTCTTCCAGGCACATAATGAAGCAGCATAGAATATAGACTTTTTTTTTTTTTTACTTTTGCCAAAACATATGTGCAAAATGCTTCCGAGAGAAAAAGGCTCAAGGGCAAACATGATGGTTAATGCCATTTACAGCAATAGCTAACTGCAGGAAGAGAGTGTTCTGGTGACGACCGCAGCTCTATGGTTGTATGGTGAAGCTTCCTTTCTGCTCCCAGAGCCTCTGTTAGGCATCCATGACACTAGTTCTCATTTCCGAGCGACCTACAGAACAAGTAAGGATGGTTTTGGTATCAAGCACAGCTGTATAACATATTAGCTCATTTAGTTTTTGAAACAACCCAGAGTGACACATAATACTCTTTGTTTTATAGGAAAGAAAGGAAAGCACAGAGAGATTAGCTTTCCTGGGAAATGTTGCTTATATCCATTTTGATTAAAAGAAGCAACCGGTGCAATAAAAAGAAATCCTTAAAGGTTTCCCAGAATAGCTGGGGTTTTAAAAACATCACTGGAATAAGTTCAAAGAGAAACAACACGTAGCTCTTTTGGGTACTCGAACACAGAAGGTAACTCTTCAGAGTTTGGATACCTGTGTTAAGAATTGAATGTCTGTGTACTCTGCTCCTCAACCAATAAAATCTCAGTTGTGAAAGAGCAAAAGAAAAGAAACGAAACTAAGACAATTACATTGACCAAGTTGGTCTCTTTGACTTCTGTTTAATTTATTTTCACCTTGTATGTTATGGTTGAGAACCCAGAGCTATAGTAACTCTCATGAAAATGACAACTGCAACAGAATCTTTCGACTCCCCCCCCCACCCCCCAGCCCTATCCACCTATGACTAGTCTTTAAATTCTTCTACATAACAGTTGAGGACTCAATGGATAGGAAAAGTGAAAGGGCAGGTGTTGGGAGATGCCATGAAAGAGAAGACAAAATTTTCCTTTGTGATGGAATTCTCATCCAGAACATTGTAGGTGCAGATACTAAAGTAAGCCACCCTATCTGAATAAACTGAAAAACAGCCCATTTATTTCTGAAGAGCAATTTTCAAGTGTTAAAAGCTAATCACGGCTAATATTTATTTAGGCTTCACCATGTACCAAGTATCATTCTAACCACTCATCCATAATTCTGATTACTCAGTGACTTTAAGAGACTTGTACTATTATGCCATTATGCCGCTCTCTCTCTCTCTCTCTCTCTCTCTCTCTCTCTCTCTCTCTCTCTCTCTCTCTCTCTCTCTCTCTCTCTCTCTCTCTCCCCCTGGAGAAGGAACCTAAGGCATGGAATGGTTACACAACCTATTCAAAACCATGCAGCTGAGAAGTAATGGGCTCTGTATTCACACCCAGAACCTCGAACTCCAAATACTCAATGTTCAAGACAACGTAGACAAAGTCCTCCCATAGCATCTGTGTTCGGACAAACTTTGTGCTTGAGTTGTGTGTATGAGCACCTTTTCCCAGATTGCCATTCTGGACCATTGCTTTCTTTGTAGAGCCGCCGGAGGCTTTTTTAGTCATTGCTCCTCTCCTCAACTTGACACCTGCAGACACGGAGAATAACCACATCAGAGTATGAAACTTTAGAAAAATGTGTTTGCCACCATGTTAGTTAGATCTTGCCTTTCTGGACTACATTGTCCCCCTCACCAAAGGATCTGAGAAATAAACCTCTCTGGTTAGGGTAGTGTAGGCGAGGGGAACATCAAGTTATGAAGGATCCTGACTTTTTTTTAAATCTCACCAGATAGAAATATAATCAGTGTACAGTTAACCTCACCTGGTAGGCTCATCTCCTAGTTAACGTTCTCCACTGCCAGAGGGAAGCAAACTTACTCTGTCTGTGGTTGCACTCTGCTGCGTTGGGTGCTGTCAACATGGCAAAAGGGTGCAAGGAGCGGCGGGGCAACAGAGCCTGGGAGACATGGAAGAAGACAGTGCTGTTTTACAGCTGTGTGAGCCTCCTGCGGGGAGCACGTGGTGTGTCTCGCCAACCCCGAGAGCCTGCTGTACTGATGAAGCATCCCAAAGGAGGGTGAGTGTGGTCTTCATTTACAGACTCTGCCCTGTGCTTGGTTCCCATAACACAGAAGCCCCCTTTGCGCTGGACATTCCTCACAGTTCCCTCTCCTGGCATAGTCACTTTTCTGCTCCTGCCTTGCTTTTGCTGTGGAACTCAAGTATTCTCTTGCCCGAGTAAAGAACTTGCCCTGACATTATGCTCTCCCCTGCTGCTCCCTGCCCCCATAAACCAATACACAGTATAGGCTGAGCATGTATGCCACTGGAATGCTTTTTAATTATGCTCTTAACTTTATTAGTAAGCTTTTTAAATTAAAAAATACGGGGCTGGAGAGGTGCCTCAGAGGTTAGGAGCACTGGCTATTCTTCCAGAGGACCCTGGTTCAATTCCCAGCACCCACATGGCAGCTCACAACTGTCTGTAACTCCAGTTCCAAGAGATTTGACACCAAAGCACATAAAATAAAGTTAAGTAAATTACTTAAAAAAAAATTATATCACTTCCTCCATTCTCCCTCCTCCCTCCAACTCTTCCCATGCTCTTCCGTCTCTAACTGGTGGCCTTGTTTCTATTCTTATTGTCACATGTAATATATAAAGGCATAAGTCTACCAATACAACCAGATGGGTCTGTTTAGTGAGGCTCGTGTGTGTATGACCCAGGACTGACTACTTTGTATTGGATAACCAATTAAGAGGCTTGTCCTGGACCAGGCTTATTCCCACTGGGATGTTTTAAAGCACTAGAGTGACAGAGTCTGATTTAAAATTCACCTGGGGCTCAGTTGAAGGATGTTTGACTACCATACAAAGGCCCTTGATTCACTACCACCATTAAAACAAACAAAACAACAAAACAGTTGTTTTTTTTTTTTTTTTTTTTTTTTTTTTTTTTTTGCATTTCCTCTGATGGCTTTCTTGCTTTTATCTTTCACATGGAAATCCACAGTCCTTCAAGTAGGACTTTTGTTCATGGTGTGAGAGGGAGGACAAGAGCTGAGCCAACACTTGTTGACAGCTCATCCTTCCCATGCACATTGTGTCACCTTTGTCCTAAGTCCGGGCACTGGATGATGTTGATTTGCTGCCAGATTCTACATTCTGGTTCATGGTCATTTGGCCAATGCTCACCCCATCCGTGCTGTCCCATAGTTGAACAGTAGGCCTGGTATCCAAGGCAGCTACCTGCCAGCATTGACTTCCCTTTCCCAGATTGACTATTCTTTCCTGTTTGTGCTTCCTACCGATTTGATAATTGCTTGTCAATATGTGAAAAGAGAAAGAGAAATGGACTGAGGGATGAAGGAAGGAAATGAGGGAGGAAGGGAGTGGGAGAGAGGGGGGAGAGAAAGAGCTCTCTGAGGGGGTGAGTTAGTCATGGGGAGGGCTGAGGATTTCAAAACCACGAGTGTTCTAACTCATGAATGCTGTATCTTTCCACTCACTTAGGCCTTTTCTAATAGCAACAACATTTGGAGTTTGCAGTGTAGAACCCTTATGCAGATTCTGTTAGATTTATTCCTAAGTCTGCTTTTTAGTTTATAGTCAATATCATGTGTCCAAACTTTGTTTTCTCTTTACTCCTGGCTTATAGAAATGAATTAAGGTTTTACACTGATCCCGCATCCAGCAGCTTTGCTAACCCCACTGTCTTGGAAGTAGCTCTTGTAGACCAGGCTGGTCTCGAACTCACAGAGATCTGCCTGCCTCTGCCTCCCGAGTGCTGGGATTAAAGGTGTGCACCACCACTGCCCAGCTCATTATGGCATTTTAAAGAATGACAATTTTCTGTATTTCTATTGACCCTCTCCTTAATTATTTCTGGTAGCAAAGATTGTCAATGTACTATTTAATAGGGAAGGAGATGGCAAGTCCTATAAATCTATTTCTTTATTATTATTATTATTTTGTGTGCATTGGTGTTTTGCCTGTATGTATGCCTGTATGAGGGTGTCAGGTGCCCTGGAACTGGAGTCACAGACAGTTTTGAGTTGCCATGTGGGGACTGGGAATTGAATCCAGGTCCATTGGAAGAGGATCAGCATTGAGTGCTCTTAACTGCTGAGCCATCTCTCCAGCTCCAAATATTTGTTTACTTGTGTTTATGAGCACTCTGCATGTTTGCCTGCACACCAGAAGAGGGTATCAGATTCCACTATAGACAGCGATGAGCCACCATGTGTTTGCTGGGAATTGAGCTAGTGCTTGTAACACTAGTGCTGTGGCCCTCTGGAGCTCAGTGCCCAGCCAGTTCAGCAATGGTAAGCTCCAGGTCAGTGAGAGATCCTGTCTCAAAAAACAAAGTGGAGATCATTGAGGATGACACTCAACGTTTACCTCTGGTCTCTGCACACATATGTACATACACAAATGTGCATATGTGTACACACACAAATACACAAACACACATGGCAACATGGTAGTAAAAGACATCTTTTTCTTTCTTCCTCAGTGAACATAGTTTATTTTTGAGGATTTTAACATTTATATGCATGAGAGGTTGACTATATAATCTCCTTTTTTTCTGTGTATGGTTTCATCTGCTATGCTGGCCTTTATACTGATCCTGTAAACTCTGGGAGTTTGGTGAGATGGGTCACATTGTTTTCTCCTCTTATCTCCATGTTGAGACAAGGTGGATTGTAGAGAACAGTGTTCCCGAATGCTCACCTACTCTTATTCTTTAAGGGCTGAAAACCCTTCAACCTGCAGGCACAGGATTAGAAATACTCGATTGCATTCACATCACAGGGATCTAACTTCATGCCTCGTGTGGCCTAGACATTGTGACAGAGGTTTCTGGTAGCCTCCCAAGAATCATCTTTTTTTTTTTTTTTTTTTTTTTCCTTTTGGGGACAGTTATACATGCTGTCACCCAGATAGAAACCTGTGCCCCCAATCTTCCCTTCTAGCTAAATGTGACTACACAAGGAGGCTTTTGCCCATGATACACACAACAGTGTGCTCTGTGAGACTCAGGACACATTTCCTTAAGGAGGAAAAGAATTCTTCACCTTCTTGAGTCTGCAACATAGTTGAGACAGAAGGCCCTCCAGCAACTATGACAGACAATCAGGCCGAAGTCTGCAACACAGGGAGAGCTGAGCAGAGACCTAGATGGAGTCTGTGATAGAAACAATTTTTTGCAATTGTGATACACGTGTCGAGTGAGCCATATTCCCCTATATCTATAGAATTCCTGTTGTGCCATACAGAAAGCGTGGACTAGATAACAAGTGAGACAAGCCACGCCCATGTTAAGGGTTCTGCAAGGCTGATTGCCTGATTAGAACTTTATGATTATGTAGAGTTGGAATGTTACAGATCCAGAACCCTTTTATCTTGATCCATCTTTAGTATTACTCACTCACAGCCCAACTCTGACTTAACACAAGGTTAAGCAACTGTCGGCTGCTTCCGGTTCTCTGATCTTCCAGGTTTTCACACCGATATCTGACTGTTGAGTTTCTATTGATTAAGATTAATTAGATTAGCTGGGCATTGGTGGCCCATACCTTTGATCCCAGCACTCTCAAGGCAGAGGCAGGTGAATGTCTGTGAGCTAGTTCCAGGACAGGCTCCAAAGCAATACAGAAAAACAAAACAAAACAACAAATATATATATATATATATATATATATATACATATATACATATATACATATAAAAATTAGATTAACACTTCAGAGTTGGAACCATGTGGAAGTACACAGTTAGAATCTCAGTGCAGGGAAGGAGGAGATAGGAGGGTCCCTGGGGCTTGCTGTCCAGACTGAAGTGTGAGCTCCTGCTCCAGTGAGAGCCCCTGTGCCAGAACATAAGGCAGAGATCCCCTGAAGAAGATGCCCGGCATCAGCTTCAGCCTTCCACACTCAGTGCTCACTTACGCATGTGTGCACACACCACACGCACAGGAATGTGAACACACACATCACACATGCACACTAGTAACTCTTCATCCCTTTGTGCTTTGTCTCCACTTGAAATTATGTACATTTAATTACATTAGTGACATAAAGACCTGAGCATAAACATAAACTTTGCCCTCTCTCTTCAAGAAGCGCAGAACCTATTGTGATGGTGAGTTTTGATCGTCAAGCCTCAAGTAGGAGGGGATCTCGGTCAGCAATTATTTAGATTGTGTTGGTCTATGGGGGTCCATGGAGTCTGTCTTCCATTGCCTTAATTGAGATGTGGAGAGCGTCCTTACTATGGGTGGCACTATTTCTTAGTAAGCGATAGTGGATTGTGTAATAGTGAAGAAGCAAGCTAAACGCTGTCGAGCATGCATTAACACATTGTTCTCTGCTGGATTATGGATGTATTGTGAACTTCAAATGCTCCAAGTTCCTGCCTCCTAGACATTCCCACAGTGATGGACTATACTCTGAAACTGTGAGTCAAACTTTTTATCTCTTAAGTTGTCAGGTTTCTTTATTACTGCAGCAGGACACAAACTATAATGCCTGTTTCGAAAGATGACCTTACGGCACAAATGCAAATCTGAAAAGAGGCTTTAGGTAGGTATTGGTAATTGCGGCTGCTGTGTGTGAGGCATAAGGAAAGGAAAATAGTCTCCTGTGATTAAGACAAAAAAAAAAAAAAAAAAAAAAAAAAAAGCAGGTATTTATTGGGCTCCAGTGTTCCTGCCCCAGGGGAGACAGACCTGAGAGTTGCAGAGGTCATGTGACTATCTGACATCGTTCCCCGAGTCCTGATAATCTATGACTCATACCCACCATTCATTTAGCTTCCTGTGTGGTTTATTGGAAGGATTATTATAAAAGTAAGATGACACTTGGATCCTAACCTGGAGTTTCTTTAGCCCTGAGTCTGACCTCTCTGTTAAAGGATTATATTAATCACATCTTAGTTCATGAGCTTGCTAAATGC